GACAAAAGTCAGGGCATAAAACAACTCAGCTGTCCAAAAACGGATGAAAAGACAGCTTTTGTTTATCCATAAATCCTGCTCAGTAATAAAAAGAAATCAAAGTGTGATACACGCAAACATGTGTATCACACATATCTTTAAGACAAGATTCAGAAAACTCAAGAAAATAAAAGTATGCATTGTTTGGCTCAACTCTTGCGAGTTCTACAATATTGGAGAGAGGTTCTGCTCTGTTGACTGGTGGAGTCTGGATATGACTGCCTCCGGCAGTTGGCATGGCAGGGTAGAAAGCATCTGGAGTATTCTGAAGCGTCTGTGCAGTAGCCCCTCTTAACTGAATGCTCCTTTTGGTTGTTTTGCCTCCCAAAATTTCAGTTAAGCGTTGTACCCTTGGTCTAGAAATAAGTAGGAGTGTCTAGAAAATTCACAGTATGTTTAAAATAACTCTTTATATATCATATTGTTATTATTAAAGTTTGTTACTGTAAATATCTTACCTAATATATACGTTGAACTTTGTCACAGGTATGCACGTACAGTCACCCTCAGCACGCTCTGGGAACTAGTTCCATGACTCTCCTCAATACAGTAATTTTCACACTCATGTATTTGCATAGAAGGCCCACACATCCCAAGGATCTTGGATCCCCTCTGGGTGTCTTACAATGTCTAACACAGAATGATGCTATGTCAGTATTCACTGTTTAGGAAAGAACAGTCACAAGGAAGAAATATTCAGTCAATGTTCAGTTCAGATGATTTTTTTTTTTGGTCCTCAAATGTTTTTTGTTGGTTGAATCCATAGATGTAAAACCTGAGGGTATAGAGGATAAATAGGAAAGGAGAAAAACACACTATATACGTTAGTGCCTGGTACCATCCCCATGTTTCAGGGATTTGTGGACCGTCTTGGAATCTATCTTGTGTGAATAAGGGAGAATCACTGTGTCTTGTTTTGGGTTGGGATCACTCCAGTGTTTACAGTTACAAAACTATTTAGGGTTCTAGGGAAGTAGGCTGAGATGGAGTGCTCACCTATCATACAGGAACCCCTGGGTTTAATTCCCAGCAGGGGTATTGTGACACAGGACTTCAATACTGACAGTCCATAGGTGGGGCCAGAAAATCAGCAGTTCAGAGTCATCCTCAACTCTATGGGGAGTTTGAGGCCAACCTGGGCTCCTTGAGATCTTGTCTCAAACAATACTCATTAAAAAGTAACCTTTTCATTGTAAGCAAAGTATACTTTAATAAGCACACTCCTTCAATGGGTCTAAAGATAGAGATAATGGTTCTTATCGTAATCTAGACAGTCCCACACAGTCTGTCCACTCATCTTGACTATAGCAGCCCCCGCCCGGCACCCTGTTCTTTCTCTGCTTCAGCATTGGGGGCTCTTCTTTCAGGCTGTTGTGTAGACCCTGGAGACCACAGACACAGAACCTCATGTGCACTGTTCCATCTCTGCTAGCCTTGCCTGTTGTTCAGCTCTCAGTCCAGCTGCCCCTTCCTGTGTGAGCTCCACACTAAACACCACAATAGACTGAGCCTGCTCCATAGTCATAGCATGTAGCCATCTGTCATGTTCTAGTCACACCATCTGCATTTACTTAGGTTCTTTAATACCAATGTCTTGCTAGTCCCTAGTGTGTAAATGAGGTTCACTCTTGTTCTGCTGGTGACTGGCTGAGCCCTGCACACAGCAGATGCACATAGTCTAGAATGAGTTGGAACATGACGGAATCGTAGCTCTGTTGATTGACTGTTCACAGGAGCTGGTGACTATTACTGAAGTGGGAATGACCTAAATAACTTGATTAATGCCACTGGTGAAATCCAGGAGTTAGCTTTAAAGTGTGCTATGGCACTGAGGTAAGTGTGACATTTGTCTCATCCCAAGGGATTCATTCTCCTCCCCCCCTCCACTTCCCCCTATGTGTTTATGGTATACTTGTTCATTTACGTGTTTCACATGTGTGTAGACCCAGGTGTTTGCGGGTATGTATATACATATGGATGCTGAGTCCTAGGTAGACGTTAGAATCATCTTTGATTGTTTTTCCTCTTTGTTGAAACACATTCCCTTAAATACAGAGTTCACACACATGGCTAATCCTGCTAGCCAGCTTGCTCTAGGTTCCACCTTTTGAGGCCAGAGTTCTGAAGCAGGTCTCCACACCCAGACAGCATTTATGTGGGTTCTGGGGACCCAAGCTTTACTTCAGTCCTCATACTTGATTGGCAGATGTTTTAAATGATGAGTTATCTCCTCATGCCCGCAACAGTAAACAGTCACTTGTCCATGTTGATGCACTTAATCATGATTCCCCATAGATCCCTCTCTTCATCCTGTAGTCTCATGAGGTTGAGTGGAAAGTGCAGGTGAGGAAGAGGCAGAGGGAGTCTGAGTTCCTACGGAGCAGGGTGAACAGACAGTGACTGCAGATGCTGGCTATGCACTGGAAGGAGTCTTGAAAGCTGTTGAAGGAGGGTTGAGGCTTCACCTTCCTATCCCAGTTCTGGTAAGTCTCTCAGTCCCCCTGCGCTGTGATATGCAGTTATGCATGTAGTCACACACCATGATGTCTCAGGCCACAGCTGGCCCACAGCCTTGAACTCACTGTCCAGGAAACAGTGTGAATCAGGCTCAGCTTGTAGGAGTCATGGTCTGACTTTCCACTTACAAGGCTCTTGATTTAGCCTGGGAAGGTGACCCTTTAGGGTAGTGTCAGCTTTAATGTATTCAATCCTTTCTATAGTTAGGTAGTACTACTTTGAAATATGAAATGCTTTCCTATTTCCATTATTGTAGGGAACTTGTAAGTGGTTTTATAGACTTTCCCAAGCCTCTGGTTGCAGTAGTAAATGGCCCAGCTGTAGGACTCGCCGTCACTCTTCTGGGACTATTTGATGCTATCTACATATCTGACAAGGTAATTCTGTTCCTGGCTAATCAGTGAGCTCCCATGACTCTCCTTTATACTGACTAGAGACAAACATATTATGGGAGCTAATGGCTGTGCTGGTTAGTTTTTATCAGTGACACAAAGTGGAGTCACATGGAAAGAGGGAAACTCAGTTGGGGAATTGCCTCCCTCAGACTGTTCGCTGGGTTTGTCTACGGGGCATTCCCTTGATTAATGATTGAAGTGGGAGGTTCCAGACTGCTATAGACATTGCCACCCATCAAATGTGGCTCTGGGCCGTACTAGAGAGCAGGCCAAGTGAACCATAGTGAGCCAGCCCATAAACACTTCTGCTCCATGGTTCCTGCCTCTGCTTCTGTTGAGTTCCTGCCTTGACTTCTTTCAGTGATGAGCTGTAACCTATAACCCAAATAAACCCTTTCCTCTCCAAGTTGCTTTTGGTCAGTGTTTTATCACAGCCACAGGAAACACAGCAAGACAGTGGTAGAATGCAGTCATTTAGATAGTTCTTAAAGACTCAGTCTAACTTGACAATTTGGGTTTTTTCCTTGCTATGTTTATTGCCATAAACATAACTCCAACTCTGGTGATTCTGTATTTTAATCAGAGTTTAATATTTATTCAATTTTTATTTTGAATATTGCCTCCAAATGCTCAGAGATGATTGAAAGCTTGCTGAAGAGGCTACAACCTCCACACAGGTTGCTTGGTCCTCTTTCCCTAGTTCAGGAAGCCTAGTGTTTAGTCTTCCAAAGTGAGAAGGGACTGTGATAGTTTACTGCTCTCCCTCCCTTGTCTATCAGAGAACTAAAGCCCCAAGCAGTCCTGAGTCCACAACACAGTTTAGACCTGTGTTCACCATTGCATTTAGTATATTAATTTTTATTCTTACTATAGTGTATCTCTGTGGTGACCAAAAATAAAATATTTTGAACATATGCAAAATACAAAGAAGAAGATTTAAGTTTTAAAAATTGAAAGTAGGGTTTGGATCAATAATGGAGCATTTATTACCTCATGTGAGCAAGGCTCTGTTTTGGCTCCCCCAGCAACATCAGAGAAAGAAAGGAAGGGAGGAAGAACAAGGCAGAAACCATTTTGTTAGGTATGAGTGATGTGATGTAAGGGATATAAAGCAGATACATAGGACTAAAGGATCTAATGTACAGTGTACAGATTATAGTCAATAATACTGGACTATAGGAAGTTTACCAAGTGAATAGATCTATTATAGCTGTCTCTGGCTGCGGGGGCGACTATGCGAGTTAACTGGTTCCACTGTGTGTAATTCATAGTAACACATTGTCTAGCCTTAAATACTCAGTGTGAAATTTATTATTTGGGGAAAAACTCACCTAGATGGAAACCAGTGCTAGTATTTGGTTTCTATAACTTAGCCAATCTCACCAGTGCCTGGCTTCTGAAACCCTAGGCTCTTTCTGAGTTTTGTTGTTGTAAACACAGATGTGATGACAGTTATCTTAGTAATTACTCCAGAATCATAGACCAGCAGCCCCCAGGTTCTTCTGCAGCCTTCTCCTTGGGAGGGGCCAAAGTTTCCTGGCTAACCACTGAAGACATTCCCTGGGTTTTTATTGACTTCATAAACAAATACTGTATTGAACAAAAGCTCACATTCAACTCTATGAAAATGCCTATCACTGTGCTGTTGTCTGTGATGAATACTGATCTTAACTAAATATGCTAGTAGCTTCTCTACCAGCAAATGCACCATTTCCATGTGAGTTTTAAACTTGTTCAAATAGATGTTTGCATGCCCACAGTGCGCAGGTACTCTGTTAATACATATACACATTTTACACAATACACACAGCAGCCCTATGAGGTCATACTAGGTTTACAGATAGAGGAAACTCTCACAGAGAGGGTAAGGGACTGTCCCAAAACTTTTAATCAGTTCATCGCTAGAATCTTAGCCCTTAACTGCATCTACCGTTCCATCTTTGGAAATAGCAATGCAATAACTACTCCTTGTCATGCTCCTGTGTACCTGTTTATGTCAACTTAGCTGTGGTTTCTTTTCTGATTATATTCTTGAAGCTACGTTGTCTGTTATATTCTTGAAGGGTGTTTTCTTGACCAAAGTTTCTGGGGTGAAAAAAAAGTGACATTAATGGGAGTATTTTATGTTTTTATTTATATGCTACCAAATTCATATATTCTCACAAAATGTATTAAAATAACTACTATGTCTTACCATTAAAAATTAAGTTTAAGTATTTGTCTACTTACATCGGTGATTCTTTTAATAATATTTATTACCCAACAAAACTCTATAAATAAACAATGTGTTGACTTTTACCTGTAATACCAACACTTGGAAAGCTGAGGCAGGAAGATTGTCATGAGTTTGAGGCCAGCCTGTCTGAGCTATAGAGTAAGATCTTATCTCATGACAATTTTTTCTTAAGTATAGGAAAAAAAACACGTTTATAAAGCAATCAATCAAAAATCCGTGTAAAAATTGGCAGTAAGGAGAAATAAAAAAGACACAAGAAATGAAACATAAGGGCTCTTTAAAGCACGAGAGAGAACATTAATGAGAGAGAGAGAACTCTGAGGAGCAGGGAAGACAGCTGCTCTAGCAAAGGCGTTTGTCATTGAGTATGATGGTCTAAGTTCAGAGCCTGAGACCCACATGGTAGGAGAGAACCAATCCACACACACACACACACACACACACACACACACACACACACTCACTCACAGATAAGTAGGCGTACTGAAATTGAAATGGATGGAGATGTGTGTGCAGTGATGTATGGGAGTATCCCTAGTGCTTAGGAAGCAGAGAGGACAGAAGGTCAGGAGTTGGTCATCTTTGGCCACACAGCAAATTGAAGTCCACCCTGAGCTACACCTGACCCTCTCCTACACTCTTCCTCACCACTACCCCTTCACACACACACACACACACACACACACACACACACACACACCAGCAGGGTGTGATAGTTCATGCTTGTGAGCCCAGCACTCTTCTGTGAGGCCAAGCAGAGAACTGCTTTAAGTTTGAGGCCAGCCTGTGCTACGTAGCAAGAGCCATTATTTTTATTTAAATGTAATGATAAGCCACAGATCAGTAAAAAAATCTTTGCATGATATTTACTTGTAACCTGTGTCTATAAATAATTCTTATAATTCACAGCTAAGGCAAATAATTTAACTTTAAAAATATGGAGAAACGTGTTAGCAGTTAACCAAAGATGCTATAATCACGCCTATTAAATGATGTTTTTAAAGAGAACTTACTAGATAGACATTTCCATGTTACAAGGTCAAATGGGACATTCTTCATGGGGATGACTCCAGGAGGATGCCAGTAGACACCCAGCTTTTTTACTTTGGAATTCAGGTGGGAGGTGAGGAGGTTGAGTATATTTAGGGGACCCCACTCTATAGCACATCAGTTTGTATAGGTAGTAGCTCGTGGCTGATTGTTCTTACATTCTTACTGTTGAGTGTGTGATCCTGGAACCAGAAGATTTGTATCCATCTAGGGTTGTTTAGAAATGTATAATAACAGAGCTGCGTTACACTCACTGTGTTCATCTTTACACAGTCAGGCTTGGGAAGCCTGTACATCTTAGAAAGATTTAACAGTAGCTAAGTGGTGGGAGCTCATGCCTTTAATCCCAGCACTTGGGAGTCAGAGGCAGGTGGATCTCATTGAGTTTCAGGCCAGCCTGGTCCACAGAATGAGTTCTAAGACAGGCTCCAAAGCTACACAGAAAAACACTGTCTCAAAAAGCAAACAAAAAAAAGAAAGAAAGAAAAAAAAAAAGAAAGAAAAAAATGAAAAGAAGAAAAGGCAGAAAGGGGGATGGAGACATGGCCTAGCAGCCAAGAGCACTTGCTGCTATTCCAGAGAGCCCAGGTTTAATTTTCAGCACCCACATAGGGGCTCACCATCTGTAACCCCAGTCCAAGGGGATCTAGCATCCTTTTGTGGCCACTGTAATCACTGCATGCACATGGTATGTACACATGCAAATAGTCAAAACAGACATACACTCAAATAAACAATTTGTAAAACTAGAAATAGCCAGGAATAGCGGTGTACTCCTTTAATTCCTACACTCAAGAAGCTGCAGAAGGTGGATTTTATGATTTGGGGGCCAGCCTGGTCTATATATTGTGCTCTAGACCAGCCAAGGCCATGTAGAGAGACCCTGCCTCCAACAAACAAATAAACAAACAAAAAAGAATCCTATAATATTATTCCTGTTTGCATAACTCTTATTCTTGGTTTCATCGCAACAGGGTATGAAAATTTCCAAAGAGTTAATGAGCAAAAATGAGAAGCAAAAGGTGCACACTGTTAATGCTGAAGAGAGCACTATCATCCAAGAAAGGCTGATATCAGAAGAACGCTCGCACGCACTCTTGAAGTTCGTGTCCAGGAAAGTAAAACTGTAAAGTCCACCGCAGCAGCTAGACCTCTCAGAGGAACGGTGTGCCACGAGCTCCCGTTTTGGGAGCTTGAGCAGCACGCATGTCACGGTGGTTTTTTTCTTAAGTAACATAGAAGTTATGGTGAGAATGCCTCGGTCATGACAAATAAAAACTTCCATAAAACAAGCCTTAGGAATTTATGGAGGATATCCAGGAATAAATCTAAGCTAGGAGGTCACAGACCTCTACAATGGAAACTTTAAATGTCTGACCAAAAAGAGAGAAAAGCACTAGAAAATGGAAAGGGAAACGATGGTCATGAATTGGTAGAATGATATTTTAAAAACGACTATTCCACCAAAAGCCATTTATAGATTCAATGTTACCCAGTCAAAATTCCCATTGATTACTCATAGAAATAGAAAAAAAAATTGCTCTAAAATTCATATGGAGCCACAAAAGACCTCAGTATGAGCCAGAGCAAAAAGAGAAATGGTATTGATTTACCATTTCAGACCTCAGTGTATATCACAAAGGCAAAGTAATAAAAACAATATAATGTGGGCACAATAAGAACTGTAACTGTAGCCATCTAACATTTGACAAATGTATCAAAAATATACACTGGAGAAAAGACAGTGTCTTCAAAAAATGGCGCTGGAAAAACTGAATGCCCACTTGTAGAAGACTGACATTAGACCTGTACCCATCACTTCGCACAAAAACTAACTCCAAATGGACCACAGACCTGAATGTGGAACCTGAAACACTGGAACCGCTAGAAGAAAATACAGGCAGTGCCATACATGATATAAATGTAGGGAAGGACTTTTGAAATCAGACCCCATTTAACTCGGAATTGAGGTAAAAAAAATGACAAATGGGGCCTTGTAAAACTAGTTCAAACACACTGGGTGGTGATGGCGGCACTCACCTTTAATCCTAGTACTCAGGAAGCAGAGGCAGGCCGATGTCTGATTTTTGAGCCCAGCCTGGTCTACAGAGCCAGCCAGGGCTGTTACACAAAGAAACCATGTCTCGAAATACCAAACAACAACAACCAAAAAAAGAAAAAAGAAAAAAGAAAAAAAAACCAACTAGTTCAAACAATCTGGAAACCAGTGTGGAGAACCCTCAGAAGGCTAAAAATAAGTCTACCATATGATACAGCTTTTCCACTCCTCACTCCTCAGAGTACGCCCAAGGGACTTGACAGCCTATTTCACATACACTCAGCCATGTTTATTGCTACTTTGTTCACAATGTCTAGGAAATGGGAACAACCTGTCTTAGTTGCTTTTCTTCTGCTGTGAAGAGACACCATGACTAACTAGAGCAACGTATAAAAGAATTTAATTGGGGGCTTGCTTACAGTTTGAGAGGGTGGGTCTATGATCATCGTGGTGGGTTGCTTGACAACAGATAGGCAGGCATTATGCTGCAGGTGTAGCTAAGAGTTGTATCCTGATCTTCAAGTTGGAAAGAGAGGGAGAGGGAGAGGGAGAGGGAGAGGGAGAGGGAGAGGGAGAGGGAGAGGGAGAGGGAGAGGGAGAGGGGGAGAGAGAGAGAGAGAGATTTGACTTGTCATGGGCATTTGAAATCTCAAAGCCCATCTTCCAACAAGGTCACACTTGTAATCTTCCAGAACAGTTGCACCAAATGTGAACCATTTATTCTCATATATGAGCCCTTGAGAGCCATTTTCATTCAAACCATAAAACAGTCTAAACATCCTTCAAACAGCAGTGGATAACGAAAATGTGGTACGCACATACTATATAGTACTATTCATCCATAAAGAAACACAAAATCAAACTTTTCAGGCAAAGTAATGGAACTAGAAAAGGTCATTTCATGAGGTAAACCAGACCTAGAGAGACAAGCATCATATGTTCTCTCTAGTCTGTGATTCCTAGCTCCAAGTCTTCGGATGTGAGTATATAGTTTAGAGTAACCATAGAAACCAGGAAACTGAAAGGGGACCACTGGACCAATGGGAGTATATTAGGGTGCAAGTGATTTGAATGGGAAAATGAAAAAATGGGGGTCTCTAATTAGGGAAGGGGAAGAATAAAAATACCAAAGAAGGAGAGGGGAGAGTAGAATAGCAGAAAGGATGTCTGAAAAAGTTGTAAGGAGCTATGTTATTTATTTATTTGTTATTATTTAGTTACCTAAAAAGACCCAGAACACATGTGAGTCTAGGTATATGAACATAGTTTAAATGAAACTTTTACATCTAAACTGACAATGCATGTTCCTCCAAAGAGCTGTAAATTACTTAACAAAGCCCCCCAAATAAACCTAAAGAACCTCCTTTTGAGATGTCCAAGAGACTTGCAAAATGTTATACATGATTGCGGTTGCCCTTGGTATTTTTCCAGAAGCGGAAGGTGAGTCCCTATTGCCGAAGACACCATGTACTTAAGACACAGGGCACCGAGGATCCAAACTGCACTTAACCTGAAAGCTGCCTCCCTGAGGACCAGCTATCATGGTACCAAAAGATGCTGTGAAAGCTTCCAAGAGAGGGGTTCAGCCAATATTCCTACCCAGCCATGATGCCTATGAACCATAACAAAGACCAGAATGTCATGATAACACTAAGAGCAGAGTTGTACTCTTAAGAGTAGTAGAGATACCTTGGCAGTAATCAACAACTCTCTGGTTGGGCTTGGGGCCCACTCAACAAGAGAAAAACCATGACTGGTGCTGGAAACCTAGCCATCTATCAAGGACTGATGAAGTCATAGATCTCAGAGGTGAACCTACTATTGGACAGCTTACTAACCAGTATAACTCCTAAGAACATCCTAAATACTTACCCTTATATTCATAGATACATGTAGCCCTCACACCTCATCAGAGAAAGTTGTCTTTGCAACAGACAGACACCATCACAGAAAACTTCAACTGATGAAAATACAGAGAACAAGAGGTCCTGTGGTACTTAGTAGCTGATACTCCCCCTATTGCTGAAGTCACACATCCACAAAACAATTCCTGTTTTTAAAGCTCAGGGACAGTTGCAGAAAAGGAGGTGGAAAGAGACAGAGGAAAAGAAACTTTGCTGTAAGATCATGCCTCCTAACAATGTCAAGATAGGCTATGCCCATGAAGTCTTATCAACATGGCTGCCTAAAAAAGACATGAACACCAATGAACATGCTGAGATAGAAGGGGAATAGCTTATGGAGCCTCAACCCTAGACAGAACTATAGGCAACTGGGGGAATGTTGAGAGTGGGAGACATTGGTTATCCAATGTCAAGTAGTCAGCTCTGGTATCATATACATATGGGTAACATTATACAGACTGAACAGGTTGTAGTTACACATTCAATAGAAAGTCTTACATTTTTTGACATGAAACGATGCTGCCATGAGCACTGGAACATAGTGCCTGCGGACATGGTCGGAAAAGCACTCACAGCCTTGCAAGCTGAGGTCGTGTCTTTGAACACCACGACAGCACTTTGGTACCCACAAGGAGTGACTGAGACAATTGGGCCTAGTACGGACAGTCTTTGGATCCCCGACTTGAGGTCCTCTGCAGGTTGCATGTTCTTTTTCGCCCACCTGGAAATGGAGCAAATGGGAGGAAAACAAATAAGAATATTCATTGCCACCTCTCTCCCAGTCCACACCTAAACAAGCAGGGGACAGTGGATTGTTTCACTGGAAAAGCAATGTTCCCGGGGCAGTGTTTTGTGAGGCATCTGTATACTGCCTAACCTTCTAACTTGACAAGGCCTTTCACGAGCTATTTGAAGCCCACAAAAACTGGCATGGAGATTTGGCTTTTGAAGTAATATTTCTGACGGAGACCATTACAGAAAACCACCACTGACAAAAATATGGAGTTGCGAGGTCCAGTCCCAAATGACACATCTACAACAGTACCCTGCACTGAAGGCTCAGACATCATGGCGGAAGAGGGGGCAGGAAGACTGTAAGAACCGGAGAAACGGGGAATTTGCTGTGAGATTGTCTCTCCTTGAAATGTCAGAAGATACACATACCTGTGACGTTTCACAATGATGTCTGCCTAAACATCTGAACAATGACGCCACCATAGACACGGAACACGGAAGGGGACAGACAGCTCAGGAGATCTCAGCCCAAGACAAAGAACTACATTAAGCAGGAATGTTAACACACAGGGTTGTCTCTTCAAAGGCAGAGACGTATAACTTTTTTTTCCTGCCCTTGTGGTATCTGTGTGGCCAAGGCCACATCAGGTCCTCCCTAGAGCCTCATCTTGATCTTGATTGTCTCGGCCACTCCATCTTTATGGAAGATGTCACTTGTACTTTAAAAAGAGTTTGTAGGTAGTCATGTCATAAAGCTTTGTTGTGCACATAGGATTGCAATAATTATCACTGGGGAACTTTTTCATATTGTGCTATGCTTAACTATGCCTAAAAATAGACTACTTGGAGTCAGACTTCAGAAGTTAGAACCAACACTTGCTGCTTAGTTGCGCTGAACTGAACTATCTTCCGGCCTCCCCTAGATTGTTGCTCTGCTGACTGTGATGGTCACAGAGGCCCCTGCCTATTAGATCCATGCCATGAATTTGAAAGAGAGTAGAGGGGTATAAGGGAGGGTTCGAAAGGAGGAGAGGGAAGGGGGAAGTGATATAATTATATTGTCTCAAAAAATAATAAAAATTTAAATACCATTCTTTTTTCATTCAGTAGTTTCCAATTAGCTAGCTTATTAAAGCCTATACATTTTTCTGTCTTAATTTTTTTATCACAATAATCTTAGTCTGAAGCATTCAGTTTTATGAAAATGTGGACAAGTTGCTGGTGCTTGCTGCCCATCATATTTTATCCCTTGAAAATGATGCCAGAGAAATTATATGATCCAGTAATACCAATTGTGAGTATTTATCAAAAAGAAATGAAATCAGTTATCACTACCTATCTGGATTCTATATTCTAGTCCTGTGTGAAATGTGATATTGTTCATACACACACAAAACAACAAAAAGAAACAAGATGTGGACCATTCTTTTGACTTCTGACATAAGCTTTTCTATGGCTTTTTAAATGTAATTAGCAACAATTTCAATTGTATTTTTTGAGCTCTCTTTCTTAAGGTCTGATCTTTGAAGACTATTTTGCTCCTATGTATTTTCTTTTCCCAGAAACTTTTGGCTACAAGTTTGTTTGTTTCATTAGGGTCTGGGCTCCATTTCTAGGTTTTTTTCCTGGATTATTCCCCTTTTCTGCAGGACAGTTTTGTTCTCATCAGTGACTTTGAGAGCAGAAAGGCATTTTTTCAGGACCTGCCTTTTCTGCAGCCAGGTAGCTAGCATCTGCCGAATGCTATGTGATTGCTTTTGGAATGTTGAAAATAGCAAACTCTACAGAGCACAAGGAAATGGCTAGGAGGGCTTCAATGGCTATCATTCCTGCTTGCAAATTTTGTTCACCAAGAGAACATTCTAAGAATGGCAGGACCTGGGCCCCACTCCTGAGATGGCAATGCACGTAGTCTCTTGAGGCTCCAGCAGGCACAGAGTGACTGTGTGTGCAGGCAAGCAAAAGGAATAATGACCTGGGACTCTACCTGGCTTGGGTTACGCACACCTCCTCTTCCTCCTCCCCCTTCTTTTTGAAGGTGTATTTATTTTATTTATGTGGGTGAGTGTTTTGCCCATGTGTATGCCTGGGATATAGGAAGGGTATTGGAGCCCCTGAAACTGGAGTTGTAAATAATCATAATAGGTGGGTACTGAGGACTGAAGCTGGGTCCTGCTCTTAACCACTGGGCCATCTCTCCAAAACACCCCACTTCTTCTAATAATGCCACACATACTGTATACATGCACCCTCTCCAAACAATACATCTAGCAACCTTGAACCCCTACCTACATCAGGCTACATGTACACTTCTCTCAAAACAGTAGAATAGGTTTCTCCTCCCCTAACAACAATCAAATAGTTTCTACTCAAATATATTCCCAATGTATTTAGTTACAAAGGATGAGTAGGCTGGTCCAGCATGAATTAATATTGTGTATGCAGTAAGGCAAAACTGTATCCTCAAGTAAATTTATAGAAAGAATCTCCTATGTATTATCCAATGTCTGTGCATAATTGGGTGTGCATATAATTAAAATCAGATGCACTATAGGCAGGGACATGCACAGTAGAAAAACAATCATATGACCTAATCTATCAGTCATAATAAACACCTTTGGTACAGCCCTTAGTAACCAAACTCCTCCTCTTGAACCCTAAAAAAGAAGAGATGCAAACAATAAACAAAGTCCTTGACTATCTTCACTCATGGCCTGTTGCTCGTGTGTGTGTGTGTGTTGCTCTTTTGCAGTGTGTTCCGACTTATTCTATAGCTTTTTTCTGAATAAAATCTGTGTGAGCCTTTATTTCAATTTCTTGAATAAGAGGCCAAGGACCTAGAAATATGTGACCCAGATCCCAACCTTGTGCCACTCTGCCAGAGCTTTAGCTACTCCTCATTCCAGCATCATACCCAGCAACTCTTTACAATGAGGGAAGGACAGCATGGTAACGAATTCTTGCCTTCTTTATTTAAGCAATGCTCAGTTCCCACTCATTAGATAAGTCTGCTTAATCTCTTAATTTCCATAGTGAGTCCATTCCTATTAGACTATAAAATTAACTCCACTTAAGCACAGTTATAACTATACAAACCCTGAGTTTATGGAATGGGATAGGGTTCTTTATAAAAATAGAGAGTGGCATCTATCTATGTCTGTATCTAGTACCTATACATAGATACACATAGTTATCAACTAATAATGGTCCATGAAGGACCACAGGCACAATGAGGCTAGGATCACTATGGAACTGAAAAGTTCCCAGTGAGGCTTTGTTTTTTAGACATTCTAAAGTTGTAATAAATGCACCATGAGTTTGTGTTGAGGTAGGTGCCAACAAACTACAATGCAACCAGTGATACATAGCATATAAAATTATGTTCAGTACATAATACCTCACAATGATATGTTGTTAGCTTGTGTATTTACAATGGTATATTTTTACCATTGGGCTAGAGTGTGCTTCTACTTATTAAAAACATTGCTGTAGATCTGCTGCTATGCAACACCAGTAGCAGTCCCATAATATTGTGCTTCCTATGTCTTTCTGGCTAGGGTGCTTAATTAATTGCATACTAAGTATACTAACAACTTTGCGGTGTTTTCATATGAGCATATAATCACTTTGATCATGCTCGCTTTTTTGTCTTTTGAGACAGGCTCTCACTATGTAACCCTGACTGTCCTGGAGCTTCCTATGCAGACCAATCTGGTCTCAAACTCAACAGAGATTCACCTACCTTTGTCTCTAATTACTATGGTGTTGTTTTAATAAAAAAAAAGATATTTTAGAATCTAAGCTAGAGTCCCTGTGTGGATCATTCAGCCATCTTGTATTCAAGACTACTTTGCCACACTTTTCAAAAGAAAAAGAAAAGGAGCCCCAGAGCCCATGACTATGACACAGTGAGCCAAGGAATGTCGTTTACAATTATAATTTACATGCAGTTTCCAGAAAGGATTTACAATATTATAAAAAAGTGAGTTCTGGCATCCTGCCAAGTTCTCCAGCATGGATAATGCACCACCATCTTTGAGTCTAGATTCTTTGGAAATCTATTTTATAGCATGCTATGGCTTTGAGGACTACTGATTTGTTTATGTAACAAAATGGAAGATCTTTGTCAAAAGCCGATGTGACGTAGTGTGTGACCCAATGACTACCATCCCTATGTGCTATGGTTTGACTGTGCTCCCTAGAAAGTCATAAATTAGAACCTTGATTCTTCATGCTATTGTGGTGGAGGTTTTAGTAAGAGAGATTCATGCCCATGTGATGGGACTATGTTAACTCTCATCCTAACCAGACAAAACTAGTTTCATTACAGCTTGGGAAGATTTCTCCGTCAATAGTGTTTGCTCTGCAAATACGGAGACCCAAGTTCAATTCCCAGCACCCACATAAAAGCTGGGTGTGGCAAACACCTGTAGTCCCAGTGCTGGGGAGATGAAGACAGGCAGGTTCCTGGGTCAGGCAATCTGGCTAAGATAGAGAGTTACAGATTTGTGAGAGACTCTATCTCAAAAATAAGCTGGAGCCGGGTGATGGAGGCACACGCCTTTAATCCCAGCACTCGAGAGGCAGAGGCAGGCGGATCTCTGTGAGTTGGAGGCCAGCCTGGTCTACAAGAGCTAGTTCCAGGACAGAAACCAAAAGCTACGGAGAAACCCTGTCTCGAAAATCAAAAAAAAAAAAAATAATAATAATAAAAAAATAAGCTGGGGAGTGAATGAGACATCTAACCTTGACTTCTGGTTTGCACACACACACACATATACACAGACAGACAGACAGAGACACAGAGAGAGACACACACACAGAGAAGATTGTTACTAAGAAAGGCCACCCTGTTTACAGCTACCCTGCTTGCTTTCTCCCTGTCTTCCATGTTTCCTTACTTGTCCTTCCAGCTTCTGCCATGTTTTCAAGCAGTGCCAGCTCTTATCTTGGACTTTCTATCATCTAGAGCCATGAGCCTAAATGGAGTTCTTTTCTTTGTAACTTACCCAGTCTCAAGTACTCTGCAACAGCAATAGAAAATGGATTAAATCCTCGTTAGGGAAAGGCCTTGTCCTCTCTACAAGTGAAGATACAGATTCTAAATGCTAAACACATTCGCCAGTGTTAAGTTCAAGGTTACTGTGGTTGGCTCAGTCTACCATTTACACAAATTAAAGTGCGCATTCTCACTGAAAGTTATACCTGCCAAAAAAGTGCCTGCCATTTTTCCCCACTACATAAGATCTTGTCATTTTACAGATGACCAAGGGCAGGAAAGCCAGCAGTGTTACAAGCAATATTTATACAAGGACGTTGTTCTTCTTGATAATATTCTTCAGGGACACCTAGGCTTGCCTTCAAGAATGGATGCTCTTGAGGGTACCAGTTAAGTCACAAGAGAGTAAGGATGATAGAGTTTCAAGTGTCTAGAAGGTCATGTTACTGGCCACCAGCTGATTATTTGTGCTCTTATTTCTATATGAGCTCAGAGACCCTAAACAACAAATGAAACCCACAAATGAACAAAACAGACCGCACTTTCATGGACAGCAGATGTGTGTTTGTGGAAGGAAATATGTGAATATAAGTATCTACTCTTGGGTGCTGATAGTCAAGCCACATTCCCATAGGTCATGCTAGGATGTTAAATAAGACATGTCACTCCATTTGAAGGCAACATACCCCAAACAGCCTTCTAATGATGTTGAAACTTGATTTTAAAAACAGGCCTCCAAAAATGGTCACATAATCTTAATTTGAATATTTTAAAATAACTTTTACCCTTTAAAAGTTTAGTGTTGCTGTATTACCCTGAAAATGCCATGGTTCTAATGACCACTGTTCCCTTAAAACATAACTTTAGTTTCTTTAGCTATAGGTTAGTTTTTTTTGAGTTTATAGTTTAATTAATTATATTATTTCTATCTTTCTTTTCCTCCCTCAAAATCCTTTCCATTCTCCCTTAAAATCAAGGTCTCTTTTTACTAATTGTTATTGCATACATACATGTATTTCCAAATGTAACTTGTTCTGTCTGTATAATGTTACATATGTGTGTGTGTGTGTGTGTGTGTGTGTGTGTGTGTGTGTGTGTTTTCAGGCCAGACCATTTGGCATTGGACAACCAGTTGGTGCGCTCTTCCCTGGAGAAGACCACTTCTCCCACTCCCAGCCTTCCTCAGTTGCCTGTATTCTCTGTACAGGGCTGAGGCCTTGTGTGCTTTCCTCTGTCCACCTTGGCATGTCCACTTGTATCATCCTTGTTCGGCTCACATTTGGGCAGCCATGTTGGTGCGACTTTATGGGTATAGCTTCTGCTATGGCTAGGAGACCCAATCTCTAGCTGTGGAATTTTAAATCTGTCTGTCAAGGTCTGACACTGGGGACACCAGAGAGCAAGTAGACAAGGTGATTTGTTAACTAGGATGATGGGCTCAGAGGATGCTTCTAGTACAGCAACTTCAAGGGCTGCACCTCTGTATGTTAGCATCCTAACGTCTGTTAAGATCCAAGAGGGCTCTGCTTTATCCTGTCAGCCTACTAACAGTCTGTGAATGCCTACTAGGTTCAAAGCACAGGTGACAGTTTGTACAGTACAGTTAGCAACAGGAAAGCAGCAAAGAGAAGTTATGGGCAGGAAAATGTTCAAAATAAGGTGGCTTGCTGAGTAACCAGAGCTTAAGACTTGGCTTTCTCACCTAGCCTGAGACCGGCTATTCCTCACTGGTATTAATGAGAAAAGCTCCCAGCAGGGCTCCAGCTGCCACCTATCTCCATGAAGGCCAGAGAGTACTTCAGTCCTTCCTTACAATGACTTGTTCCATCCTTACAATGACTCTCTCCTTTCCCAGTGTAAAAATCTGGCAGACTGGGGATAAAGCTAAGGGTCTGGTCCTTGGTCATGCTAATGGCGGTGCTGAGTGGAGGGGTCCCTCTCCAGCAATCCCGCAGCAGTCCTGCAGATCTCTGCGCACTAGACCAGGAGGCCGCAGGCACAGGTGACCGTGACACACCACTATTCCCACTCCATGAGTCTGCTTGCACTGAGGGCTTCTTCGGTAACTTGGGATGTGGGAAAGCAGAAGCTGTGTACTCTTATGAAGGTAGGCCCATTTCCACAGCCTCCATGTTTCATAAAGACCAAATTAAATCTTTTATTGGAGGGGTGGGAATGAAGAGTTTCTGGGACCATTCTGTGTTTCTTTAAACATAAGCAGGAGACAAAAGCCCAAGAACCTACCTGGCAATGACCGTGCACATGGGTGGTTCATATATGTTTTTCTTCCACATATGGCATTTCTTCCAGTTGCCACTGATATTGTTGATAATTTTTCTTTTCCACGAGGACATTTTGCTTGGCTTCGGAGATAGACTAACCTCCCTTGGCAACATATGTCTTGCTAGGATCTTTTCCATGCCAGATAATTCAGAATTCTCACCTGGTGGTAGAATAAGTATTAACATGATTCAGTGTTCATTTCTACCTCTTCACAGCAAGATTCTTTAAAGTCTTTGTGTGTGTGTACCGGGCACCAAGGACGGAACCCAGGATCTCACATGTTAGGTATTTCCCCCAGCTGTACTTTGGCAATTTGGTAATTACCTCTCAGCTCTGCCACCCCTTTATCCCAGCAAAATTTCTTATCATCTTAGTCTAAGAGAAGCATTCGCTAAAATGCATGCATTAAGTGTGCCAAGACCAGTGATAATATTGTTGGTTCCTTAAGTACAGTTTGCAGACTGTAACACCATTGTTATAATTATTATTTTATTATTATCATGCATTTTGAAACTTCCCAGAGGAAATGGAATGAGTGGAGATTATAGTCTTGCTTTTAATCTGGAGCACCATCTTCCTGCTGTTTTGCCTAAGAAGTGTTCTGCATTGGAGCTCCAATAACAGAGACTTGAGATTTAGATCTTTGTCTCTTACTGCTAGAGCTCTCTGGGTGGTCACAGCAGTGAGGATGACAGAATGTGGACTTGCCTTGAGAGGGTAAGGTTTACACCCTGTTATCAGAACTGACAGACACAACTAAAAGAAGGATTGATTATTCCGGCACATGGTTTAGAGGTCTGGATTCACGATCGCTAGATTCCACAAGCTTGGGCAGAATATCATGACTGTAGAAATAAGTGCCATAAGAGAGCTGTCTCCATCATAGCTAACCAGGAACCAAAAAGGACATCAGAAAGTTGCCAGTAATAATGTCTTCCTAAGTGACCTACTTCTTCCGGTTTGATTCCACTTGCTAGGTCTCTGGAGTCACTTGAAACAGTGCCACCATCTGGGACCGAGCATTCGAATCATCAGTCTATGGAGGACTTTAGATCCACAGACTGTACACTGACACAACGGAAGAATCCAGATCCGCTTACATATGCCTGCCCTTCACATGAGCAATTCCTATTCCATTTCCTTTCCCCAAGGGAAAAGCTGAGAGAGAAAAAGGCAGACTCAGCACATCACCATTGCCTTCCCCTGGCTTCAGAGTCTCAGTCCACCAGAGCAGAGGGAGGTGGGAAGGATCTAAACACACTGAGAGTGGATTTCAAAGCTTCTATCAGAACTGATATTTCATTTGCAATATAACTCCCCAAAGCTATGAAATTCGCCTGTAATTCATCTAAAGGTAGCAACAAAAGTCAATAGAATGGAGTGAAAGGAAGAACTAAGGTACAGACGGAGTAAAAAAGTAGCTGGTTTGGGAAGTTCTGTGCTAAGTGCCTTAAATTCTGTGTGTATTCCTTATGTAATGTGGAATGTATAATGTAACTTGGATATATGGGCTTATTCATAATGCTCTGGATTATGAAGAAGGGATTAACTTGAATACAACCAATTTAGTTCCAACAGGTAAGCATGTATCAGCCCTTGCCTTATTTGAATCAGTGTGTAAGTTTTTATTTTGTCTTCCAAGTTTTGGGGCACATGTGGCTGCCATCTACCAGTATCTTACAGTTAGTCAAACAGTTCAAGGTTGGGGTTCATTTAGTGCTACAAATCAAATTCTCAACCATCCTGACCCAATTTAAGACCACCAGGCCACTCCAAACTGCAAAAGCTAGAGACTACTCGCTATATGGAGTGGCACATGCCTATAGTCTCAGCTACCCAGGAAGCTCAAGCAGGAGGATGACTTGAATCCAGAAATTTCAGACCATCTTGGGCAACCTATCAAGACTCAATCTCAAAATAGTAATACTAAATAATAAAAAATATATACTTAAGGGGGCTGGAGAGATGACTCAGTGGTTAAGAGCATTGCTTGCTCTTCCAAAGGTCCTGAGTTCAATTCCCAGCAACCACATGGTGGCTCACAACCATCTGAAATGAGGTGTGGTGCCCTCTTCTGGCCTTCAGGCATACACGCAGAAAGAATATGGTATACATAATAAATAAATAAATATTTAATATATATATATATATATATATATACTTAAAATTACTTTAAGGAGAATAACCACGTCTTCCTAGCAAAAGAAGAAGGGAATAGTAGAGAACTGAAGCAAGGAATGAAGTTCGTAATCTGACCCTCACCTTGAAAGTTCTCGCACTAATCTCAACATCAAAGCCACATCTTAATTTATAATGAGGACAGCTGTACATGGCTCATGGTCATCTTTCCACAGGTGTATTTTTGGCGGGCAGTGGTGGCGCATACCTTTAACCCCAGCACTTAGGAAGCAGGTGGATCTCTGTGAGTTCGAGGACAACCTGGTCTACAGAGCGAGTTCCAGGACAGGCTCCAAAGTTACACAGAGAAACTCTGTCTCAAAATATCGAGAGAGAGAGAGAGAGAGAGAGAGAGAGAGAGAGAGAGAGAGAGACCCCTACCCATGGGCAAATTCACAGCCTGTTCTGAGAACACAGACTTAGACTTAGCAAGCCATGATGCGGCATGTATCTCATGAACTGATGGCACCTGCAATGTCAAGAAGTTAATGCTCACAACTAACAGAAGAGGGTTCATAACGTCATGCAAATATACGTATTCTCATCCACCCCCTGCTCACTTACATTTGATTTTGTCACTTTCACTTCTATAGGAATGAAGCACTTCCACCAAGTGATTCGGAAGCAACTTGTGAAGGTTAGAGAGAAGGTTGAATGTGTGACACAGGGTGTCGGGTTGGGTATAATTTTTCATCTTCTCATAGACGTTTAAGAATGAAGGATTGTTGTTGATTGTTCCCATGATGGCTCGCTAAGTTAAAGAGAAAACCAAGCAGAAGACACGAGATGTGCCAGTGTGTCTTGTGACTGGTCTTTGCCTCAGCTTGCTGCCATCTCCAGGAGGAGGTGATGGAAGAAGCTTTCTGGTCTCTGACTGATTTGCATTCTGAGCATCACAATGGCCCAAGTATTGGCCTGGAACCCTCAGAACTTGTTCTGCATCTTCAAAGCAGAGAAAAGCTGCCTAGGGAAGGTATCTTACCAAATAATTTAGAGATTTTTCCACAGAAATTCCAGTGTCCTGTCTGGATATGGATGAGTTCTGAGGAGAAAAAGCAAGTTTTCCTGAAAGGAAATCAATTGGTGTGCACATAGCCCGTGCTATCCTCCCCTTTTAGAGGCCTTGTACCTGGTGTGTGCATAAAGACTTCATAGACCTTGGAGGCCCCAAAGAGAGTGTTTACATCAGCTCTGCTCCTTATAGACCTGAGGAAGAGCTTTTGGTCCTAAAACTAAGGAAACGTCCAGATTAATACAGGTAAGGGGACTTGTCTGCCTTTTACTCTTTTTCATTCCTAGATTGCCAAAAGAAACAAACAAATAAAACTTTGTTAGTTTTTTCTCACTGTAGGCCAAGGAGAAGTGGGTAAAACAAGTACTAAATAACAAAGCCCCAAACTTCATAGCCCAGCTGGAGCAAATGAGAAGCAACCAAGAACCACTCCCCAGTTTGCAATGAAAATATAAATAATAGCATGGTTAGAGTCACCCCATTGGTTGTCAGCCCACTAGCCAGACAGGGCACCAGGGTTCCCTATGACTACTTAATGCTTGTTGAACTGGAATGCAAGCCACAGTGCAATAGTAAGACCATGTGCCATACACCCTCGGTAGCCTAAGCAGCTCATGTTGGTTAGCTTTTTAGCTGCACTGCAAAGCCTTAGGCAAAAACCTTAAAATAACATGGCTGTACTCTATAGATCATTTATGTTCAGAGCAGAAAATAAGAAATTCCACTTTTTTATCTTCAATTTTCAAACTAAAAAAGTAAAGACTTAAAAACAAAACCAAACCCATATAAACCCATTTAAAATGTTGTATAGAACTAACAAGAACCACTTGAATGCAATGTGTTTCTCAATATTGCATAAGTATTTTTGGCTGAAAAAAAGAATTGACAGAGAAAGTGGACAGAATATGATGGCAACTAGAACACACACACCCTGGCTTCTTTCTTCTAAGCAAAGTTGAATGCATAACTCTAAGTCTTCATTTTCATAAATAGAAAAGGAAGAAAGCATTTTTAAATGTCTTCTATATACACTGTGTAAATTGACCTATATTGTAACGAAATATATGGGTCTGTATTTGGGGAACCATAAGGCCAAGAAATAAAAGAATGGAGAAAGACTTACTACCCACTGCAGGACAATATGGGTTATTTCCAAAGCACCATCCCCCTAGAGCAAAACAAAACACATGGATTTCATTGGAAAAGCTGATACATATTCATATAGAAAAGCACTTTAAGAATGGGCACAAAACAAGCTCTGTTTTGATGTAGGAGGTTCTTCTGTTCATGTGTTGCTTTCATTGACTAATGAATAAAGAAACTGCTTTGGGCCTGATAGGGCAGAACTTAGGTAGGCAGAGAAGACAGAACTGAATGCTGGGAGGAAGAAGAGCAGAGTTAGAGAGACACCATGAATCTTCTACCTGAGATGGACACTGGTTAGAATCTTGCCAGTAAGCCACAGTCATGTGGCAATACACAGATTAATAGAAATGGGTTAAATTAAGATGTAAGAATTAGCCAATAAGAAACTAGGGCTAATGGGCCAAGCAGTGTTTTAATGAATACAGTTTCTGTGTGGTTATTTCTGGTATAAACTAGCCGGGTAGCCTGGACAAATAAGGGACCCTCTCCTTGTAACAATTGGTGCTTCAACATGGTCAACTAACTCCACATAAAACCTGAGAGGGCTTGAAAAGGAATTATAAACACAAATATAGAGTTTAACACAGCTTTTTGCTGTTTGCGGGCAGCATACCACAGAGAGATTTTCCTAGCTCAGCAGCCTAAGCAGGAAAAAAGTGGTGGTTTTAAAATACCAGTTTTCTGGGCTGTGCCAACAGCGCAACCTATGTCTCTTGCGGGAGACAGAGCATCTGGATGGGGTTTCTGAGAAGATTGGTGCAGCTTGCTTGATGGCAACGTAGACCAGCTTTGTGCCTGGAAGTTGGTCAGTGTGCATGGCTCAGAGATACAAGCAGCTCTGCCATGCTGAAATGTGTGGAATGTGGGCAGGAACTCCCGTATTTGCCATAATAATAGCGCAGCTGTTAGACTGGGCGGGCAAACAGGTGTTATCATATTACCCTTACTAATGGCACCATTTAAGCTTTTAAGAAGTGCTTAGCATTTTAAGAAGTGCTCCTGGACAGTAAAGAATTACAGATTCACAACAGCACAGATTCAGACATAAACGACCTCTAAACGGTTCACAGTGTTGAATAAATGCACGTAGGCTTGGGAGAGAGAAGAAAAAGAGTATAGAGAGTCATAAAAATAAAGTTAATGTTTAAAAAAAGGATAAAGTCTTTAAAGAGACATAGTACAGATAATCATAGATTAAAGAAAGTAAGGAAAAATAAGCCACATGAAAATGGAAAATTCACAGAGAGTCTGGATTTTGTGTATTATTATGTTTTCTTTAAAATTTTTGACTGTAAAGGAGCTAAGTACAGAGAGACATTTCATTGTATGGGCTGCTAAATTAAACCAACATGTATATTATAAATATATCTTGACTTCAGAATTTGGGTCTAAGGATATGATGCTTTAGAAAGAGGTTCTTCTTTTGTTTTCACAGAAGATGAGACCCTGTGGATTGCTTCTAGACCAATATGGTTTGATAGACCATGCCCCCCTAAAAGGTTGCTGTGAACACCCTCAAAAAATTACTTTGCTCAACTGCTGACTGAGATGAACCTAGCACACGGGATACACCATGAAAGACCTGATTAACAGCACCCCCATACAGCACGAAGCAGTTTGGAGAGAAAAAAACTGTGCCCCATATTTCTAAATATTGTTTATAACTATTTATATTTAAAGGGGATGTGATATAGATATAAATAATTTGCATTGGTATGGATCTTGCTTTATTGATGCGAATTTAAGGTGAATTTTGTTATATGTATATATATTTCTGATCTTGATTAAGGTATTGTGATTGTATAGTTCATTTAAAAATGTAATGTATAATTAAGAAACACAGGTGAATAGATAATCATCTATATTAGTCAAGTTTGTAATCATGTTAGTTAGATTTTCTAGATGTGCATAGATATATTTCAGATGGATAGACATTCTTCATATCTTTCAAAGACTACAGAATATGGCATTTAAAATGTTTTAATAACTTAGGACTTTTCATGACAATGAAACGATCTGCTCCTGGCAGCACGAGCTACTTCAAGAGGAAGATGGGCATTGAAGAGGCTCCTTATGGAGCTTGCTAGCCATTTGGGCAAGAAACTGCTCTTGCCTGGACTGCTTCACTGGACATGCAGTACCCACAGAGAGATGACTGCTGAACTTGCCTAAAGGTGAGATGGTCCTTCAGGGTTCCTGCTTCATGAAAGTGTCTGCCAGATGTTCTGCAGGATACAGAAGAAAGTGATTGAACTGTCTTTGAAATTTCCTGCTTCGTGGAAAAGTCTGCTAGATACTATGGGCCTGAAGGCCAAAGATGGATGCCCCAACAGTACAAAAGAACAGCGAGGTATCTCTGTCATTTCTAGAGTTTTGGAAGTTGCTTACAATGCACTTTCTATTTACTTAGGTAATATTATATCCTTTTGGAGTCTTTGATGGAGTTGAAGAATTTATAGTCATAGTTATTGTTCTCCTTAGTTATGATAAAAGATAAAGTAAATATAAGTATTATAACTATAATTCTTATTTGATACCTGTTTTGTTATATGTAACTTTACTATATTAAAGTTAAAGCCTTCCTTTTTGTTTAAACAGAAAAATGGAAATGGTGTAGGAAGTTCTTCTCTTCATGTATTGCTTTCATTGGCTAAAGAATAAAGAAACTGCTTTGGGCCTGATAGGGCAGAACTTAGGTAGGCGGAGAAGACAGAACTACATGCTGGAAGGAACAAGGGCAGAGTCAGAGAGACACCATGGATCTTCTACCTGAGATGGATGCTGGTTAGAATCTTGCTGGTAAGCCACAGTCATGTGGCAATACACAGATTAATGGAAATGGGTTAAATTAAGATGTAAGAATTAGCCAATAAGAAACTAGAGCTAATGGGCCAAGCAGTGTTTTGATGAATACAGTTTCTGTGTGGTTATTTCGGGTGTGAGCTAGCTGGGTGGCTGGGACAAACAAGGGACTGTGTCCTTGTAACATCATTTAAGGTTATAATTCAGGAAGGAAAGATGACAGGCACATTTGCTCAGCTCAAAGTTGTGAAACACATGCTTGAAAGGTTAAAATTGTGAACAAGAATGCATCTGGGCATGATGCCTCATAAACTTTGGGCTCATAATAAAGGAAATGGCATGTTGAAGCTGTGTTGATATAGGAATTTGTTCCCAAAGATTGCCTGACAGTGGTGACTAGCAATGTTTTGTTTGTTTTTTTAGACAGGGTTTTATTATGTAGCCCTGGCTGGCCTGGAATTTTATATGTAGACCAGAAAGGATGGCCTCAACCTTGCAGAGATCTGCTTGCCTCTTCCTCATGAGCGCTAGGATTAATGATGTGCACAGCTATGCCTGACTGACAATATGCTCTGAAGTGTCTCTCTAAGTAGCACTTGGTGGAATGTTCATAGTTAACTGAAGCTATGGACATTGACTGGAAACAAAAGTAGGTCATGATTAAAAGTTATCCTTGAAAAAAATTGACTATTGATTATGAAGAAAGCAAAATAGGAGCTGGAAAGCTGACTAAGTCATCACGAGCACTTCATTTGCTGCTCTTGCAGAGGACCCAGGCTTGG